GGAGAGGGATGACCGCACGTACCGCGTAGCCACTAGCCTGAGTTGGAGAGGGGCTCGCAGGTGAGTGTTGTGAATATGCACGTCGTCTTTGCAGTGCCGCCCGCCGTGTATCTCTGAGAAGTCTGTATGCATGTGGACAAAGAACAGAAGGGAAAGCAGGCGGGTCAGGATCGCCCTTGGCAGGCACTTCTCAGATGGAGCTGTGCTTACTTCCTAGCTGAGGACCTACAGCGCTGTCGCAGTGTGGACTCATGTCATGGCGCCATCTTTTCAGCAGGTCTTTTTTGATGCCTCATTTGCTGCTGGTAGACCAAGGCGCAGCGAGCTTCTCTGGCATATGGGTCATTCATTTGCAGTGTGCGTTTGGTGAAATTGGCAGCTGGGTTTCTCTGTCCACCGCCCCCGCCTGGAACATCGGTGTTCTGAGCCTATAGCGGGTGCTTTCCTGTGACTTCCCTTTCTTTCCATCTTGTGTTCGTCCCTGTTACTGTGGTTTGTATGCTTGCTTCTGTATTTTGCTGGGGCACATCCTCCAACAGTTTGCCCAGGAAGGGTACATAGGAACACAAAATTTTTAAATTCTCAGATATCTGAAAATGCCTTAATTTTGCCCTCCCGTTTGAGAGGTAGCTTGGAAGGACCTAGAATGGCAGGATGGATATCACTTTCCCTCATAATGTGGGTGCTCGTGCCGCCGTCTCCAGGAGCCTTTGCGGCCTCGGAGAAGCTCGCGCCGTGCTCATTCCCGTGCTCTCCTGTGTAACTTGTCCGGGCGGTGAGCAATTTGCATCATGCTCTGCCATGCCAGCAACACAGTGGACAAAGCTCCTTCTGCCATGGGGCTTATGTTGTAGAGGGCAGAGCCAGACAGTGATGGTGGACACAAGACTAAGAGCGATGGAGAAAGTGGCCATGACAGGGGACCAGCGTTCTGGGAGGCTAGCAGTGCTGGCACATGGGGACAGGTAGGCCTCCTGTGACCAGAGACCAGAGGAAGTGCAGGTGAGCCCGGCAGTCACCATGTGCCGGGGAGGGGACGGGGCAGGGATGGGACATGAGGTGCGAGAGGCAGGCAGGTGGGTTTGCAGGAGGGCCTCCCAGACAAGGGACTAGGCTTGGCCCTGGTTGAGAGGGGTCACCATGGAAGGGATTTAGGCAGATTCTGTGGAGGCAAAGACGGAAATCCCAGGGCAGGCAGCGGCCAAGAGGCTGTGCACATGGAGGGCAGGCCGGAGGGCAGGACTCAGAGCCAGTGGTGGGCGTCAGCCGGGGGTGTGCTGGGTGGAGTGGATGGATGAGGGGTGCGGCCACTTCCTGCGTTGGGGTACTACAGCAGAGAGGCATGGGGAGAAGTCTCCATGCCGTATGGACGCATTCGGGTTGAACTATGTGTGAGACGTCCCAGTGGAAATGCTGAGTAGGTAGGTAACGCATCAGTTCAAGTCCAGCTCAGGGCTGGAGATGAATTCTGCGGCCATTAAGTAGAAATAGGATTTAAAGCCACTCAACATAGAAGAGTCCCTGTCAACAGGATTTAGATGCAGGCAAGGAGACTGAGAGGCATGGCCTCTGCCGAGGAAGAGCCTGGGGCTGCAGGGGTTCTGGATGCCTGAAGAGCCGGGAGACCGGAAGCCTGGCTTGTTGCTGCGTCTCAGAAATGCTCAGCTCGTAATGTTTTTGTGGCTAACGCAGGGCCTATCTCTAACATGTTTTATTAAAATAGGTGTCTTTTTTTAAGAATGTCTATATTTATCTCCATAGAGCTCAGTAAAACTTTTTTTTCCTCTTTTTTTTTTTTTTTTTTGAGACAGTCTCACTCTGATCTCACCTCCCTGCACCTTCCACCTTCCGAGTTCAAGTGATTCTCCTGCCACAGCCTCCCAAGTAGCTAATTTTTTTGTATTTTTAGTAGAGATGGGTTTCACCATGTTGGCCAGGCTGCTCGGGAACTCCTGGCCTCAAGTGATCCACCCACCTTAGCCGCCCGGAGTGCTGGGATTATAGGCATGAGCCACCGTGCCTGGCCTATTTTCTTTTCTTTTCGGGGCGGGCGGGGGAGTGGTTGCTTTGAGATGAAGTCTCATTCTTGTTGCCCTGGCTGAGATCTTGTCGAGATCTCAGCTCACTACTACCTCTGCCTCCCGGGTTCAAGCGATTCTCCTGCCTCACCCTTCCGAATAGCTGGGATTATAGGCGTGCACCACCACACCCACCTAATTTTTGTATTTTTAGTAGAGATGGGGTTGCACCATGTTGGCCAGGCAGGTCCCGAACTCCTGACCTCAGGCAAGCCTCCCACCTTGGCCTCCCAATGTGCTGGGAATATAGGCATGAGTCACCACGTCCCACCTATTTTCACTTTTAATACAAATGCACATTGTTCATCCTCCCTGACTTAGCTCTTCCGGAAAGGTGATTGATTGCTCACCAGTCTCCTCCTCTCTAAGAACCTGCTCAGTGCAGGGGTTTTGTTCTGAGTGTTAAATTTACACAAGATTAAGATCACACAGTGATACTGGGAAACTGGTTCTGGTTTTTGCAAGAAGCCAGTTGAATAGAGGGGCTTTGGAAGATAATTGGGCAGATTTCTCCGACCTGTGTTAAGTAGCACTGCACGTTTCAGAGGCAGCAGTATTGGGGAAGGAGGGCAGGCGGATGTGCTTCCTGCTTTTAAGCAGCTTGGTTCTCTTCATACGACTGCACTTGCCTTTAGGGACTGTGTAGGTACCTGTAGGAATTTCTTTCTTGGATTTATTTGGAGTGGGCTTGTGTAGTACTCATAGTGTTTGTTTATTAGACTGACGTTACGTCAGCATTTAACTTACTTTAAAACCTAGTCCCCTTTTGGGAAATTAAATATAAAATTGTGAGAACAGCAACAAACCTAACAAGGTATATGTGGTCCCAGCTTACTGAGGGTTCAGCTTTACAGTAGTGCAGATGCCATTTGCTTTCGGGAGAACATGAGTGAGTTACTTGAGAGACTCAGAACTGTGTTATAAGACAGGCCTCATGTTTGATGATTTCATCCAACCCCAGGCTGCTGTAGGTGCCCTGAGCACACGGAGGCCGGCGGGGCTGGGCCGTGCCGTTCAGTAGCGTGGGTGGATTCAGTGCATTTTCTGCTGCACGTATTGTGAGTGTGTGGCGGGGTCGTCGGGAAGTAGCCTCACTGTAAGTGCAGGAGGGTCCCTGAGTGTCACGGCAGCCTGGGGACAGCAGGCGCCCTCCCCCATTCATGACTAGCAATGGCACAGTTACAGTAAAGCTCATGTGGCTTTTGCGAGCCCAGACTGCAGTTTGCACACCACAGCTCAGTTTGTGGATTTTATTTCTGTTCTCACCCTTTTCTAGTCCAGAAATTCTTAAAATTAGCGTTCACGAGAATTGCTGTAGGCAGCATTCAAGGGGCTCATACAGAATCCCTGTGTCCTGTGGTTGGTAGACAGCGCAGAGGGCTTCAGTTAAAGGGTTGTGTGAGCCGTGTGGCACCGCCATCGTGTGGGGCGCCTGCCAGGCAGCCTCATGGTCGCTGCAGGATATGTTAGCACTGAGGCATTTTAGAAGCAGCCCAGGCCGTGCCACCAGCCAGTATGGACTCACTCACTGAACACTGACCAAGGGCTGCTCACACCAAGAGCTGTGCAAGCTGCGGAGGGTTCGTGGTCACCATTTGGAGATGTGGAGTCCTTGGCCTTAGCTGCCCAGCAGTGCTAGTGCTGCAGGAGTCGCCCCGAGGGCATTGGGTACAGGGTCCTGCATGAGCCCAGAAGAAAGGCCTCCCAGGTCTGCCAAGGGGACGGAGGGTTCCCAAAACAGGCGGCACTGGAGATAAGCTGAACAGGGGCATCGTGGCAGGCAGAGACCCTGTGAGGCCATGCCAGGGACAGAGACTTAGGAAACAGAAGCCAGGGCAAGGTGCTCAGACTGGGCAGTTGGCAGAAGCCCTTCAAGAGGCTGGCCCTGGCTGCTCCAGGTGCCCTGTGCCCATCCTCCCTCCCAGCAAGGCCACAGCGTCTGGGGAAGGATGGATCTGACCTCCTCCCTCGTATCTTCACATCCCTGACACCCTGAAATGAGAATCTGGGAGAAGCCACCCAAGAGCAGTATAGCAAAATTCTGGAACCACTGCGCCGTGGGGTCCCGGGCTGCCTCGGAGCACGGCAGGGCCATAGAGCACATCCCACGTTCCCGCTGTCTGCCCGCAGATGAGTGCTTTCATCTCACCAAGCAGCACATACTTTATTTTTCTTGGAGTCCTTTTGAGATATAGGACGATTTTCAAATTTAATTAAAATCTTGGAGAGAATCACAGGTGTGTGGAGAGGGGGTCATAGCCGGAGTGGCTGGCAGCAGACCGCCTCACCGAGGCTGCACGCGTCGGCTTCACTGCTCTCCTTCCTCGTGAGAATCTCCTGGGTCTGGGTTAAGGGTGTGCCCGGAGCGTTGTCAGCCTGGGTGGTTTTTAGCGTGGAGCCTCTGAGGCAAGTGGTGGGCCTAGGCTAGGGTGTCCCTGGAGGTGTTTTCAGATCTGGGGACTTGTTTCGTTTTTACACCTGGAGACAGCCCCTTTTTCTTTTTCTGAGTTCAGCTGTATGTTTTAATTTTTTTAAGAGGCAGGGCCTCACCCCATCACCCTGGAGTAC